AGTAAGGTCGAATTTATTTGAATTAATATGCTGACATAATATGAAACATTTTACTGCATAAAGAGCAAAAAGTACAATTTTCGTGAAGATATGATTGTGCATGAAGATGTATTCACAGATAAAAATGGGGCAATTTTAAGAATTCCAAGAAAACGTCTAGTGTTAAAAGACGATGCATATCCATGCATATTTAATGGCTGTCCAATATATACGACAGAAAACTTACCGACAGTCAGAAGAAGCAGAATGGAAAAATTCACGGAAAAAGAGAAAGAAATATGAACACTTTTCATGGAAAACAACAAAATTAATGGATTTGATAAATGACTAATAAATGTTGACATAAAAATTAGAGAAGCTGTGAAAAAATACGGAATTCATTACCTATAAAAATTCTGATGAACTGTTTGTTATGTTTTTACATTTTTGTCAATCTCCATGCATTCAAATATGCTTTGTTTAATCCTAGTATACAGTACACTCGGGATTTGCCGACATTGACATTAAAAATTTTTTAGCAAGCCCAATAAATATTTTTTTGACAACATAATCTTGTGAACATTGTTCGTAATTCTATTCAGTTGAAGTAATTCTTTTAGGCCATTTAAAAAAGATTCTATCAAATTATCAGAAGAGCCGTCGAAAGTTTAATGCAATCATATAAATCGCTGAAAAGTTACACTGATTGACATTCCATGTATATTACTTACTGGATGATTATATAAACGAACATCTGAACCCGAGGCTTATGCACCGCCAAATTCGAACAAGTTACTGCGCAATTAATTGAGATTCCAGCAGTTTTTTCAAATAATTTGGTAAAGATGCCATTATTTGAAATGAAAAGATTGACTTCATATTTGAAATTGAATCAATCAATGACTGATATAAATAATATTGCTTATATTAAAAGTAAATGTAATGCACTGTCAATCAAAGAATGCATTGTGAATCTTATCATTGTTCTGTCCCCATCTACTTACTTCAACTGCCTTCAGCGAGCGAATTTGCATTGCTGTGAGGTCCTGTTTGAAAGCCTCTGAATTGAGGAGAAATCACTGTAGAAATACCGAATTTGTGCTTATTTTGTTTGTGAATATCTGCTTTACAAGAAAACACCAAACATTTGGATAAATCATTTACAAAATATCAGATCCAACGTGTTCCAATGCTAATCATTAGTGTTCATGAAATAGTGTTCTGTTTTGGTGTTTTACGCGTTTCTGGTGAATATGATATGGTAGTTGGCATTCTCCAATTTTCAGTGGTTCCAGCAGTGCAATATTTGGATACATGGATTGACGATTCGGTTATAACGTCCTTAAGTGCTATATCGTACATCATTCTTAATAGATTATTGTGTTGGTGCTCAGAATTAATTCATATAAAACCAAAAATAACATACAACGAGCCATTTTCTGGTTTTTCTGAAAATGCAATCAATGCGGAAGCAACAACTATTCAAGCTGTTATGGTATGTTCATTAGTTTCAAAATACAAGAAATTACTGGACTGGTACCAGTACTTAATATGACTGTTGAAGATGAATTAGATGTATGTAATAACAAGAACCAATACATTAAAATTAATAATAATGCACATTCTATAGTATGTTGTGTTTTGTATAATATGCAGAAAAGGTTAATGATTTAAAAGTGAATAAAATGTATGATCGAAAAAATAGTGTTAAGGGAACATTAGCATTACTATGAAATATTGTAATCTATAATTATGTGATATTTAATTGTGTAATATTAAAAAATACTAAATATTTTTTATTGATTGCAAATTGCAGTTTTATTACTTTTCGTGTGGTATCTATTCTTCCAAACACCGTGTAATTCACGTTTTTTTTTTTTTTTTTTTTTTAAATATTGCCATTATGTATGTTTATTATATTATCTCAATAAATGAATGTTGGAAATTAGGTTTTATTTTTTTATTAAATTTGAGTATATTCTATTTTTTTTGCTTACTTTTTATGTGCTTGTGATAACAAAGAAATTCATAATAAATAGAAACAAAAAGTTTCATCGTGTGCTATTTAACAAAGAGCTTATTTTAACGTAATTAGTTTACTATCGTACACTATATTATATAATTATTTCTGTACAGTAGCAAAAGGAAAGTTATTGATTATAAAAAATGCATGAAATAATCATTGTAATCTACTGCTATTCTAAAATGTAGAAACTAAAAATAAGTAAATACATTAACATATGATAGAAAGAAATGGTGTTAAGGAACATCACCATAACTAGTAAATACTGCAATCCATAATTATTGCACTTTTAATTGCTTACTATTTAAAAAACACAAATAATATTTTATTAATTGGAAATTTTAGTTCTGTTACCTTCCTTCTGCTATTTATACTTTCAAACACTGCTAGTTCATGTTTTTTCTTAAATAGTGCTGTCATGTATGTTGTTTGTTAGGTTATTATTTAATTTTAGATATGAAGTTTTTTTTTTTTTTTTTTTTTTTTTTTTTTTGGTTATTAGATTTAGGTATATTTTTGTATGAAATACTACTTTATACAGTGTTTAATTTGCATATCTTTGAGATGTAGAAGTTAATGGTTATATTTTTTACTATAAAATGTGAATAAATTTATACTTGAGTTTAGGTAAAATACTGATTATGTTACCTTCGCTTCCTAATTTATCATGACAGGGGCAATTTTCAATGTCTCTGAAATTTAACAGAAATAAATGTGATAACGCCGTTATAAAATCTGAAACATTCTTTTTTTTTACCCACATATATATCTTTACTTTTATTTATGTCTGATTGAGTTCTATTTACTTAAAACGTACTATTAATGTTATATAATTATAATAACCACTTTCATAATTACTCTCACTTACATACTAAAGGATTAACCTTCTAACACCTGGCCAAAATTTTCATAATATAATATAAGCCTTCAGACCAGCGAGATCCAAAACACTTTTGCACCCTCTTTGAATTTAAGAATAAGAAGAAAGATGCAATAACAACGTCCGTCTGTGTGACAAAAACCTCATCTGCAAAGACTGCAAAACAGTAGAGTTTCGTGGCCATTTGGGTGTCTTAAAGACGACATATTGCAATGTTTTTGTAACAACATATACGATGAGTTTGCAATGCTGTTGTGACGTTGCCGTGCTACTTGGGTATAAATTCTGGAAGTTTGAAATATGAAATGAAGATATCTTAAGACAGAATAAATGCATCATCAGGTTTATAATGAATGTGAGACTAATTTAAAGATATGTGAGTGCATTCTTCATTTAAATTAACAAAAATACATATAGGACTTGGATTGTCAACAGAAAGATTATGCAAAAACTTATTTTAACACCCATTATACCACTCCAGTACTCGCAGAATAAGCAATTTTGAATAGAGCTCGTTCCTACTAATAGAGACATGTGGCACCCCCCACAACTGAAAGGAACACATGTAGTGTAGAATGCATGCCCAGGTGGAAAAGGGCATGGACTGTTCTCTGTTTGCCCGATATAGCTCTATCTGCTTTCGTCCTGTGGAATCATTTGAAAACTGACATATTTAGCGGAAAAACACCAAGCACTTCAGAAAATACAAAAATTATTTTATTATTATTTGTATTATATTAATAGGAAAGCCATTCTGTTTGCAACTTTTGAAAAAAATGGGAATGAACTTTTCATTCTTTGACTATGATATATTGTTGCCTTTGGTGGTAAAAGTTTTGAAAACGCTGTATGCTCAGAATAAGCATAACAGGTTGAATGGCATCTATCAGTAAAATATGATAATAAGACTGCAACAGCCTGTTACTTAAATTTTACCCACCACTACATAAATATGCAGTAAGAATGATTTTTTATGATCCTTTTTTGAGGTTCTTTTTAACAGCTTTGGTGTCCATTTCAAGACATACTGCTCACAAACATACATTCAAAGAATGTCTACAGCTATCCACATACATCCTTTCTAACACAATGTGTGTATCAGCTTTTCCAAAGAACTTCCAGATGCATTTGTAACAGCCAACAATTGGAATTCTCATTGCACTTTAATGGAATTTCCGAAATCCTCTTAAAAGTGCATCCTTTGATAAGAGATTTCACTTTGGGAAACAGAAAATATTTTTCATATAACCAAATCTAGTAGTATTTGGATGCATAATTAAAGTTACACTTTTCTTTCAATCAAAAGTTTTACAAAACCAAAAACTGCATTTTGCAAAGGTCCACAAAATCCTGTTGGCTGATGAAACCTCCCTCAGAAATTGAAAAGACTGCTTCTTAGCAGAAGACATAGTCTAGACCTTCCCCTTCAAGGAGGAAAAAAAAAAAAAAAAAAAAAAAAAAAAAAAAAAATGAGAATTACTTTTAACTAATGAAAACAGTAATTTTTTAATTAAAATAATTAACTTGTTTGTTAGTCAAAGCTTTTAAAAGCACAGTTTTTTAGTCAAACAGTTGGCTGTCAATTTGCCTCTGGATTATAAGTAAAACTTCAATTTCCATCATTAGAAAAGATTTATTTTAAAAACTTTAGATTACTGTCTGCCATTCCAATCACAACCTTTACTGATTATGGTATTTCAGTCTTAAGATACATTACACTGGATATCGGCTGCATAAATTCAAACAAAAATTCTATTTCAGCTGTTTCCTATAAGGAACCACTATTTTGAAGAAAAAATACTGAAATGTGTTAGTAACCATTGCCACTAGTTAATATCAGATACTGCCCAAAGAATTTGAATCAGAAATTTTTGCAGATACACCACTATGTATGAATTGAATTAATAGTTAATGCCGTTTATAATGAATTAGGGGGGGGAAGAGTAAATGTAAGATGTTGTTTCGACTAAAGTGAAATTTTGATTAAAACACCATTCAGTTAATGCTGTAGAAATATACTTCCTAATTTCTATTCTTAGTACTTGTTTTCCTTAATTATAAATTTTAAATTTCATTTTACACTCCACTAGGCAAATTAAATGAGGATAAACAACTAAGGAAATCCAACTAAGTGGTTCATTTATTTGCAAGAAATAATACAAAAAATAAAAATATCTTACAACAGCTACAGAACATTTTCCCTTTAACAAATGCCATTTTTATGCACTGTAGATACGGAACTTTACTCAAAATAAAACATATATGCATTTAGGCAATTTCAATTACCTTTCTCTAGTCTTTCAATAAAAGTCGATGCCTGAAAAGACAGCAAACATCAGTTGAAGTTTTATGTAACATCAGTAAAGTACACAAATATATCAGATTTCAATATGAAATACACTTATATTATTAAAATACGAATACAAATGGAAATGAGATGGAAATGATATGATGATACACCCTAAAACTCTAAAACGAATGGAAACAGAAATATTCCTTCATTTAAGAATGAAAACTGTAAAATGCCAGTGTGCCATTCTTAGGCTCATTATTTAGTTACTAACAAGCTATACAAAAAGCATCACCCATTTTAGCAGGAAACGTTGGTTATTACAGATGAAATTTCTCTTTAAGTGATTGCTGCTAGTCAAATCTTGTTCTGTTCTTTAAATCAAGATAATATAGAAAAAAAGAGAAATTAATTAGTATAGCTAATATTTATTTAATACCATCATAACACAGATATAAATATTTTATGCTTTTTTCAAATCACAGAACCAAGAACTGCCAATTTTAATGAGTTTGCTTACAGATGGTCAAATGGATAAAACTATTACTTTTTTACTTGTAGAATATGCTGGCTGTACAGGAATTTTCATGGTTTCTCCTGCATGTAATGGAAATACTAGCCAATTGCCTTTTGAAATTATTTTAAGAAATCTACAAGTACTAAGTCCCATTTAATTCCTGATAATGAATTCTCTGCACATATTTAAAACGTTTTGCACCATCTGTGTTTCAAGAAAAGAAAGGCTGAACACTCCCAAACATGGTACATGCACATTGTGCAATTAACATACAGCAGTTATTTGATACTTTTTTTTTACAACAAACAGAAACAAATTAGGAAAGAGCTGAAATACGATGAAGAACATGAGTTTGGGGGAAAAAATTAATATTTCAGAAAATAATTATATTATCAACAATGAGATACAGCTTAAGCAAAGTAAAAGGTTTAAAGTAAAAAATTCATATCTAACATTAAAGGCTTAGCAAAAATAATAATAAATATCTTACACTTCAACTAAGCATAGCTACAACAACAGCTACCAGTTTCACTGTTACAAACTGCCAGTAATTTCAGCATCTCAGCATTACAAATCTAACATAAAACACCCATGTCAAATTTTTAAAAAATTATCGATATTAATTCTATATAAAGTATAATATTTAAACTTAACATCTGAAGAAATATTCACTACTTGGTAAGAAGCAAATGTTTAGTAATTAAATGATTTGCTTTGGAATGTTAAGTATTATACTTCTCTATTTTTTCCCTCTTTTGCTAAGAAATTAACTACATCAAAAGCAATTTTTGACTAAATTAAATAACAACAAAAATTAAAAAAGAAATAAGATGAAAAATTATGCAGTAAAAAGTATTTATATAATACATGTAAATGAACTTGCTTATCACATTACAAGCTAATAAAAAAATATAAAACAAGTAATACAATAAAAGAAACGTGAGAATAAGACAGTGTAAAATGAAAATAACACATAAAAATAAGACTTACAGTAATAAACCAATATGAATCAGGCTTGAAAATAAGTTTAGAAAAAAAGCCCATTTCACTGACAGAAGCTATAACATGCAAATGCAGATGTTGTACAGTGTTGAAAGGTGGCCAATGAAAACCCATCCTTCAATAAGAAAAAAGTAATTTACATTTGTGCATAAACTACAGAAAAGTACACAAAGTATTAAATCTCCATTTCAAATTTCAATTCCAATATGCTTGAATTCCTAATTAATTTGTAATAAATAACCTTATAATTACATTCTGTAACTGGAATAAAAACAAAAATTACTTTATTTTATCAACATAAAGTCTTTTCTTTCATTTACACTAGAAGCATCAAAATAAATTTGCCAGTTTTGTATGCTTCTGCAAAATTAGTCATTCAAAACTACAGACTGTAACTTAGGTTAGAAATTAACGCATTAGCTATGATGCTCTAAACTTTTTTTTAATTAACCACCATGTAAAGCAACTAAAACAGCAAATGGAATGCATTAGCTGTCGTATTCTACAATTTTTTTAAAATTAACCATCATTTAAAGCACCTAAAACGGTAAAAGAATTTTTTAAGCATTACAAAATATACATTAATGGTAAAAAAAATGCAGCGGCAAACAAATTATCGTTAAGGAAGATAAAAACTGTTGCACAGATTTGAATAAAATTTACAATTTAAGTGCATGTGGTTAAACTATATTGCCTACACAGAAAAAACAGTAACTGCAAGAAAAAGCAATTGAATTAATTATAGGTTCTAGTTGAACAAGCTGAAAACTGAAATAAAAATGTTCAACATTACCATTTTTCTATGCCAGCATGACACAGTTGGTCAAGTTTTATGGTAAAAGTCTAATTTTTAACGAAAGATTGAATTTCAAGAATAGCATGACTAGACTTGAAAAAGGCCTTCCTAACTTTATCTCACACATAGTCTATGGCAAAGTTTCCCAAACTTTTCTCTTCACATCATCACTCACATGCAAACAGTTGGGATTTATCCAAATTGTTCAGGGTATATAATTGTTTGGGGTAAAAAAGAATAGAGAAGGAAAAAAAATCCATGAAGAAAAAGTGATAATAAATTAATACCAATAACTATTAAAAATTAGTTAAAATTATTAATTAATTGTGGACCTTTACTTACATAATACAAGTCAGAGAAATTTAAAACTTTGTTATCCACTAAAAATCATTTCCTGATCTGCTAATAAGTTGCAACACAGAACCACTGGTCTGCAAAATTCCGTTCTGACCAATCAAGCCACTGCATGTGACAAATGTCTTAGCTTCAGTAGTGCTCTATCAAGGAAGTGTGCTTTGTCCAAACATCCATAAACATTAAATCAATGTCATTCTAGAGATGACGATGGATATGGATGTAACATTTTATTTAAATATCTAATAACAGGTATTATTCTACCAAAAACAAAGAAAGATCCTAGCATTTGTGCTGGTCAGCATGATAGATATTCTACTAAAAACAACTGTAATAAACTTGTCCTCCTGTATTTTTTCTGCTTTTATCCATTATAAAATTGTTGCCATTCTTTACTGGTTTTCAGGCTATTTTCTCACCTATCAAACAAAATTCACTGTTTAGTTTCTACAGATTCTGTTTCAGATTTTAATTCTTAGGAAATTTATAGCATTCTTTGTTAATGCAGTTTAATACACATTAAACTAGACTGCCAAACTAAAGCAGTGTTGAATTTTCTTATTATAGAATTTAAACCCCATGCTAGAGAAGGAGAAACAAATCTTCAGTAACTTATAACAGTAGTCCCTTATATAATTCTGACTTGAATTTCATTAAAGTAGCCTAAAGAATTTCTTCATTTGGCGAATTACATTGGTATTTATGTAGCATGCAATTTACTGCTTTTGCAGTTGCACAATCATCAAACTGCAACCCACCAAAAGAACTTAATCCCACAGATGGTAATACCCACAGATAGTACTAATACTCTTAACGCTAGATTGCCCAAGGAAGTCATTTTGACTGCTTTTTAATTTCAATTAGAAAAATATGCATATAATGACACAATTTCTTAGAATTTTGTGACTTTTTGTAGCAGAGCTGTTGCCCAAAAGCATTTTGACTGCTTTTGGGCAATATAGGTATATACTAAGTTTCAGTCTTTCTAGTGTTAAACAACTGAATCGCTCTGGAGGATTTTGAAGCAAAAGTTTCAAAACTATACATGTTTCTAGCCCAGAAACTGACAGATCAAATAACTATAATTAGGCTATCATTTTCTTAATTCTATGAAAAATAAATCAAATTGATTAGTTACTAGACAAAATATTGTTAGTTTTATGTACATAAACATAGTTTTGGACACCAGTGCATTACTCACATTGCACAACTTTGCAACTGACCATTTTTCTTCTATCTCGATTCTTTTTTTTTATTCAATCCCGCAAGTTCACTTCACTACAGATGAACTGGGAGTGGCATAGTTTGGAATCATTTACTCCAAATTAAAAGGGATGCATATGATAATGTAAAACTATCATGCAGATGATACTGCACGAGTAAAACCGGTATCACACCTACTACATACTCTGATATCGCATCTACAGAAACATTTCTGAGAATTTTCATTTTCATGATGTATGAATGGTTGACTTATGCGAAAACCAGTTCTATGGAGAAAAGCTATGATGGATACAGCTTTCAATGAAGCGTTTTCATCTCTATCGTAAAATATACCACGTACCTAGAAGAGACATTGGTTTCAGCAAAACATGTTTTTGCTAGGAACCCTCCATTGGTACCAGCTTGTTTTTGAGCAGTTTTTAAAAGCCTCATGCATCGTCAGATGTGATAGTCCCATTAATGAACCAGGTTTTCCAGCACAAGTCCAGGACATAACATCGATGATTTAAGGGTAACATGACATGTATGTATTATTGTTAGTACTAGAACAGGAAAAATAATATTAAATGGGAAAAGTATTCTTGAACTCAGGGAATACAAAGTCTGATGCTACTGTACATCAATTAATTGGATTAAGTATTTAAACTTATTACAAAAATACTGTTAGCAATGCAGGCCTCTTGAAACCAAAAGAGCAATCTGATGTTCAATCTAAACTGGATTATGCAAAAACCCTAAGAAAATAGCTTTGTTTACTTCTATTTTGCAGGTAACTGATGAGTTACCCTTATGAGATGTCAAACGTACATTTATGCAACACAATAAAAATTGATAATAATAAAACAATAATATGCATAGAAGTTTCAACTTGTAATAACAACACACTTTACAGATAACTCAGAAACTGGAACTGGCTTACAAAACATTCAATTGCAATGACTCTCCGGGATCTTGCAAAAGCGAATGCATGTGAAGTTACGTACCATTATACTAACTATGTTTGCTACAATGATGAAAATGATCAATGCTTCTTGAGTTTAATACCCATTTGGCAGTTACAAAGACAGGCATTAAAAAGCCATGAAATTATCATGAATATAATTATAAAAGAAAATAATCAAGAACAATGCAATAAAGAACTATTTCTTACCCATAATTAAGTCAACAAATAACAAACAAAAGAATTCTAAAATAAATTCCAATACTTGACAAAAAAAAAAAAAAAGCTTCAGATTTGTTATTGCCTCCACCTACAGAAGCTAAGTGCCAGGATGTCAGTGATGACTATGATGAAGACAGTGACTACAAATTTTCCCCTGAATAATTTATGTTTTGTCTGAAACACAAACTATTTTTAAAATTGAAATATATTTCATGTTTAAGTAAATCATAATTTAAGTTAATATGCCAACTCAGCGGTCCAACATCAAGTTCACGGCATGATGCCCAATAACATGCAATCAATAGAGGCGTGCGTAATAAGATGCTAATTTCTGCAGCCTAAGGTATAACTCATGCATAAAACATTTTTGTTGGCACTTTCGTGGCTCTGAAACTTTGACCTAAATGCATTTTGCCGCAATGCAAACCTCGGGTTGTTCTGTATTAGCCTGTACTTGTCTATGCTGATATCTATCAACATGTGAGTGGCCGCCATTTGTTTGCTAGGTGTGGATACCTTCTTCAGCTCACAGTGCATCCTTGCCTTAGAAAAAACTTTGAGGTTCTTGTAGTTTCTAAGACAAAATGAACCACTTCCTTTTCACAGAAAATGTATTCAGGACAGTTGCCTGATTTACAATTTTTTTCAATTTCTTTTATAAGTCATTTTAGAAGTGCAGATATTAGCCTATTAAGCTCAAAATGCTTAGGGATAATACACAGTGCACCTCTCTGCAGAATCCTTCGAACACCAACAAATTCATCCACTGTCATTCTCCCATTTACAGGGATCAGTTCATTAATGGCATTCAACACTGGCATTCATCATCAAAGATGATAAATCGTCTTCAACATTCATGTGCACATTTTGCAACAGTGTGAGCCATTCTGAGATCATCTGGAGTGGAACTAGTTTAATAGAGAATGAGTGATAATTAAACTAGCAATGCCTTTCAGACAGTTCAACATTTTATGAATAGTTATTATGGACTTTACATCTGGACCCCACATGCAATGAACACATCTTTTCTAACTTATACTATGTGTATCACATCAAATACAACTTCAGAAAGGATACATACTTTGTGTTGCTAACAAATTTCATTAAACAGTACCTCTGTTCTTGGCGATAGCAAGTAATTTTTTATTTTGGTTGAGGCTGCTTAAGTTTCATTTTGATACATTCCATTCTAATGGACAAGGAAAAGATTATCTCACACATAGTCTATGGCAAAGTTTCCCAAACTTTTCTCTTCACATCATCACTCACATGCAAACAGTTGGGATTTATCCAAATTGTTCTGGGTATATAATTGTTTTGGGTAAAAAAGAATAGAGAAGGAAAAAAAAATCCATGAAGAAATTTAAAGTGATAATAAATTAATACCAATAACTATTAAAATTTAGTTAAAATTATTAATTAATTGTGGACCTTTACTTACATAATACAAGTCAGAGAAATTTAAAACTTTGTTATCCACTAAAAATCATTTCCTGATCTGCTAATAAGTTGCAACACAGAACCACTGGTCTGCAGAATTCAGTTCTGACCAATCAAGCCACTGCATGTGACAAACGTC